ATGTATTTTACAGGGCATAACTTATAGCTTAGTGGGGCCACAGTCCTGTAGTTTTAGGAATCATCTAACTTTTTAGAATTGCACATAGAAATGCTCAGCTTGGGAAAAAAAGAAACTTTCCCAGGACTTAAGTCTCTGTTGTATATAAAAAAATTATAACACAGCAAAAATGCTTGCTCTAAGGGCAGTCGTCCTTGGTGCAGCTAAACCTAATGATGGGAAAGTATGTGAGCTAAATGCTTCAAGGTTGATGGTTGGGGGATGTTCCTTATCTTGTCTTCAGCTTTTTCTTTGAGTTTCTTAGGGAACTAAGTGTTGCTACAGTGATTATCTCATTGTTCTTTTTGTAACCACCTGTGTTCCTTTTCTGTAACTTTCTTGCCTGGACAATAAAAACTGAGAGAAGACCTGGTAGGGGTCACGAATTCTTCTTGCTTGAAGAAATTGTTGCTGGGGTTAACCCCTTCTGGGCCTCTCACTGCTCTGGAGAAATGGGTTTTGAGTAATCCTTTGCATCTGTCACCCTGGGAGAGGTGACAGACAGGATTTTGTGGAAGTAAATAAACTTAATTATTGCTGAAAAATGGTATATATAAATTGAGGGAGGCAGTATATCCAGTGGAAAGAGCACTAGACTAGGAGTCAGAAAATTCAGGTGAATGGCTGTATGACTTTAGACGGGTCTCTGGATCACCTCGTTTACCTGTCTGTAAAAGGGGAATTAGTGATAACCATGCCTGCCTAACTCATAGGGAATAAAATGAATCATTAATATCAAATGTTTTCCAAATGTCAGTATACAAGGTCAAGTTTTTTCCCCCAAGCCTAGCATAGTATTAGACAGCACAGATATAGACTCTCTCTTGAGAATAAAAAAAGAGGCTAAAAAACAGGATCTAATACTTGGAGTGTTCATGGAGTGTTGGGGGTTGGGTAGAAGGAAGGAGAAGAACCCAAGAAAGAAGCAAAAGCATGAAAGAGGAAAAAGGAGAATCAGGAAAGTATAGCCCTGTACTTTCCAGACATGATTTTCACTAAGCCTTGTTTATGCTGTTGC